ATATATAATATATTAATTTAAGGGAGACTTAAATGTTTGAGTAAATCATGTAAAATGTTACTGCTGTGGTGAACATATCTGTATACTGTTTATAACAGTGGCAAACTGGGAGAAGCTCAAGGGTCCTGCATTGGAGGAAAGTTCCAGTAAATTTAAGACCTAGTTCTGTTCATCCACTTGTTCAGTTTATATTTCAGCCAGTATTTGAGTCTGATCTGCCAGGCACTGTACTTATCACTAGGACTTAAATATTAATCAGAGTATATGATCTCTGTCCATATGGAATTTATAGCCTAGTAGAAGAAACAGCCAAGAGTCAGTTATGAATTCAGATGACAAGAGCTGTAGTAACACAATTTAACTTTGTTAAGGAAGCCATAGAGTACCTTTTAAGTATGTGATTTTGAGGTGAAATTCAGAAGAAATCTGTTACAAAAGGGATTAAAATAAAAATCTGTGTTATATTATCTAGAGCTTTTTTTCTAGTGTGTTAGACATTTAACGGCTTTTAAGCACTTGAAATGTCGGTAGTCCAAATTGAGATCTGCTGCAAATGTGAAATGTACATCAGATTTTGAAGACTTAGTACCAATAAAAGGTAAAATATCCTATTATTTTTTGGTTTTTATGGGTTTTTTTGAGACAGTCTTGCTATGTAGTTCAGGCTGGCCTCAAACTCACTATGTAGATGGGGCTGGCATTGAACTCATTGTGATCCTCCTGCCTCAGTCTCCTGAGTGCTGGGATTAGAGGCATGCGCCACCACATCCGCTTCCTATTATTTTCTTTTTTTTTTTTGGTACTAGGGATCAAACTTGCGTCCTTGTGCTTGTGCAGCACGCAGTGAAACCACTGAGCTAAATCCCTGGCCCTATTATTTTCTATATTGGCTATATCTTGAAATAATAACAACATTTACAAGAATGGATTTTGTGTACTTTTGTTCCAGCTTTCTTTGTTTTTCAAATTTCAAAGTAAATTATTTTTAGACATTAAAACCTTTACAATTTCAATTTCAGAGGGTCAAGATATTTTAATCTTTCACTTTCACAGAAAACTCTTAACTTTCCCAATGGCCGTAAATACATCATTGAAGTCATCAAAGGAGTATAATTCATCCTAAACAACCACTTTCAAGCATGGTTTCTGTCACCACCTGAAACATGTTCATTATCAGATTTTTATGCTGTATCATTATCTTTAAGGTGCTGAAAATAGTTCTGATACAGAAAGTGCTCCTTCTCCTTCACCAGTTGAAGCTGTCAAGCCCAGCGAAGACAGCAGTGAAAATGCTGCTTCTCGAGGAAACACTGAACCTGTGGCTGAACTCGAGTCCACCAGCGAAACTGCACGGGCTGCATCTCCCTCCTCAGCAGTTCCAAGTACAAAACCAGCTGAAAGTGAGAAGGTGGAGACCCAGGCAGATGACAGCATCTGTGTTGAGACGGCAGAGCCAATGGACGTAGACCATCAGGAGCACTGTGCTGAAGCAGGTTCTGTTCTTGATCCCCCAGCCACTACCAAAGCAGACTCTGTAGATGTTGAAACGGGGGTGCCAGAAAACAGTACATCTACAGGTGAAGGAGATACCAAAGAAAGAGACTTGGAGAGAGGTAGTGAGAAGACAGAGCCTAGAGATGAAGATTTGGTGGTAGCTCAACAGATAAGTACACAAAGGCCCGAGCCCCAGTCAGACAATGATTCCAGTGCCACATGCAGTGCTGATGAAGATGTGGATGGCGAGCCAGAGAGGCAGAGGTGAGACTCATTCTATTTTATACTGGTTGCTGACCGAGTCACAAAATGGTGCTATTTGCAGAGGTGACTCCTATACAAATATTGGCAAGTTAAAAGTAGTCTGTATGTTTTTATTTTATTATTTTAAAAAGATTTTTGGTTTTTGAGACTGAGTCTTACTGTGTATTCCAGCCCAGCCTTGAACACTACGTATCCCAGGCTGACCTTGAACTTGTAGTGATCCTCCTGCCCCAGCCTCCTAAGTGCTAGGATTACTGGCCTATACCAACACACCCAGTAATCTGTGTGATTTCAGTAGTGGCCTGTGATGCTGTTTATCTGCTTAAGTAACCAAGAGTAACTTTCTTTTTTTTTTTTTTTG